AGGAGAAATCAGACGAAATCGAACACAGATACGAGAACGCCCACAAGATCCAATGGAACAAGCATATCAACAACCCTGTGAGAAAACACTAGACAACCACGAAACCCCGTTCCCTAAGAGCACCCAAGAAAGCCACCAATACACAACGCGTAGCGGCAGAATAGTAGTACCCCCAACACGTTTAGATATGTAGAAAGAAATTGAACACAAGACGACAGTCTGTAAATGACTTGTTATTATATATATACAAAACATCTTATCTTATTGATATCTAAAAGAAACTATAGTACTATACTGAACCTCAAGGAACTATAAACTTTCATATTAATGTTAGGGAAAGGAGGATGTAATGATATACTTCCGGTTTGAGACCCCCCAGGGGGCCTCGTGTTGTTGTTGTACTTATCTTGTAAAAATACAAAGCTCGAAGACTATTACATCCCGCTCACCCGGGATTCAATGAAGTGTGACGTATATTGAACAATTGAAATAAGTCGCATTTCACGATCTAACAAAATTGCTTGTTACAAATTGTATGAAATTCCATTGTTTAGACAAAAAACAAATGCTGTTGAATGCTATTAATCGTCTTCTTCCACTACATAACGTCTAGCGCGTTCCAGCAATATTTAATTTTGTCTAACTTTTGTTTAGTGTTGAAACACGTATTTCCTTTGTGCTTTTCGAAGACATATCGTCTATATTTCTCTTTCAACACACTTTAAATGAAATAATTATTTGATTAAAACTATGTTATATACAAATAAAAAACTTTTTTTAAATTATAAAGTTGGCGGTAAAATAAATCGATTTCGCTGTAACACAGCCTCTTCAGTACGGAAGCCATCTTGTTTTTAAAATATTATGTACTTCATGTAGTAAAAATGGCGCGTTGAAACTTTATGCAACCGTCAACTTATTGTCTCACTCTTTACTCTATTACTACCCGGGGAATTTTAAAATAATTCCACTCGGTTTTTGAGTTCATCAATTCGCCTTTCTTTATCTTGTTCATCTTCACACTCTCCGATATCTGTCTCAACATCGCATCATTGCCATACCTCCCTGTCACATTCATCTGAAATGTTTGCACCTCGATTGCACCAAATGAATATGACAGGGAGGTACTGTATGGCATTCATGCGATGTTGGACAGATATCGGAGAGTGTGAAGATGAACAAGATAAAGAAATGCGAATTGATGAACTCAAAAACCGAGTGGAATTATTTTAAAATTCCCCGGGTAGTAATAGAGTGAAGAGTGAGACAATAAGTTGGCGGTTACATGAAGTTTCAACGCGCTATTTTAACTACATGAAGTACATAATATTTAAAAAACAAGATGGCGGAGTACTGAAGAGGCTGTGTTACAGCGAAATCGATTTATTTTACCGCCAACTTTATAATTTAAAAAAGTTTTTTATTTGTATATAACATGGTTTTAATCAATTAATTATTTAAAGTGTGTTGAAAGAGAAATATAGACAATGTGTCTTCGAAAAGCACAAAGTTATCAAACTCCTTCCTTGCTTCAACTAGAGAAATTTCCCAAATATAACACGTATTTCAATTGCTCAAAATACGTCATTGAATCCCGGGTAAGCGGGACCATATAAACAGCCCCTTAGACTGTAATGAAAACGATAGGCGAACAATAGAAACTGATTAACCGCACAAAAACGAAGATAAAAGGTCGAAACCTCATAATACAAATTTATGTAAAAATACAGCGCCTAATGTTTCTTCCAATGTCGCTTATACTGTGGTTAATATCCCTGGAAATTCAGATACCGATCAAACAATGAACAGACATAATGACATTTCTACTCATTGTCAATTGCGTACCCCAAGTGAGGATTTTGGGAGGAATCTCATTTCTGAGTGGATTGGTAGTTTACCATTAATCGAAATAAATGTTCCCAAGCCTTCTAATCGTTCATTTATTCGAGTTCAACAACAACAACAACAACAACAACAACAACAACAACAACAACAACAACAACAACAACAACAACAACAACAACAACAACAACAAGCTAGCCAAAATCAAACACACCAGTTCAAAAGATCGGTAAGAAGTGAGCTCCCAATGCATGATCAGGATTTTCTTGGAAACGGGAACGAGGCTTAAATTGGCAAATACCTGACATTTGTTTGTGCGACAATGCGACAGTAAACACAGGTCTTAATCAACATATCCCGGTACGTGTAACCTCACGAAGCCCCCACTGTACTGTACCACGTTACTCTTTTATGGATAATAATAAAAGATCTAGAAATCCCTTTAATTTAATAAATATTAAACCGGCATCCCCTGCTAATACGAAATTGCAATCACCTAAATTTTTGTACGCCAATGTGAGGTCTTTTTTCCCAAAGTTAGGATTTATTTTTACAACATACTGCCGCTGACTTAGTAGCTATTTCCGAAACATGGCTACATGAAGGTATCGATGACAATTTCCTACCATTCCCAAAGTATAACTTTTTCCGACGTGGTAGACTATGCGGCAGAGGAGGAGGAGTTTGTGCCTTTGTATCGGAAACTATGGTTGTTTACCATTTACATGTAAAACCCATCCGGTTTGAAATTGTGCTAATGGTAAGCAAAATTTCGGATAGAAAATCCCATTCGGATTATTCGCTTTCCATTTAATAATTTCAAATGTTAAATCGCGAAGAGCCTGGAACTGGGGAAAAAAATTTAAAATGTAAATGGTACAACATTTACCGGTTGAAACTTTCCAATCGGTAAGAGAGGACAACGTTTTCAAACAAACCGTTTATTCCGGAAAAGTTCCGGTTGGGCCGTCGAAATATGCTTGTTCCATTTACTTTCCGTTTGGAATCACCGGAATTTCCATGTAAATGGTAAACAACCTATCCCTTCCAAGTGGCGTGATGACCTCGGAAACTGAACCATGAATGTATGTGGGTATGGATTAGACCTTTTCGCCTCTCAAGATCCATTACTGGTATAATAATTGGAATAGTTTACAGCCCTCCTGACAAGTTGTAGCCTACCTACCAACGACTGCCCGTAAACGACAATACCGGTGCTTTCCACAGTCCGCGCGAGAAGCTTTTGGCCGATGGGTGAATCGCCAGGACTTGTATGCATGCAGATGGTCAAAACTTTACCATAGAAAAGCTCGTCAGCGCATTTACCTCAAACATCTCTGTAGCTATGGTTAATTTTTTCCGATGAAAATGATCAAATTACATCCTGATATGCCCTGGATGACGGCATCCCTAAAGAACCGAATTATGTTACGTCAACGGGCATTCCACAGTGGAAACATAAATCTCTGGCACCATTACAAAGTGAGATTGGGGATAACAGAAAGAAAACGGAAGTTTTATGCAGATAAAGTCCAACGTCTGAAGAAGAGTGATACTAGATCCTGGCAAGGGAGCACAGCAGTATTTTTTTCGATACTTGCGTACCGGTATGGCTGTAAAATCTGTGAATAGGTAGAACTTGCCAGGGCCGCAGAGGGGGGCAAATTGTCCCGGGCCCCGAGTTGCTGGGGGCCACTGAAAAATTTGTGTTGGGCCCCAGCCTTTTTTGTGTGTTAAATATTTCCGCGCAAAGGACAAGATATCTGTCTTCTTGGGCTAAGTACCGAATTTTGGCATAAAAAAATGAGATAAAGTCCCTCGAAAGCAATTGCATAGTACTCGTCCGGAAAAATTTTGTACTCCGGAAAAAATTTTTTACCCCTAAAATGGTACACTGACCGAATATTTTTTGGCGACGGGGGGGGGGGGTTGTTCTCCAGAAAAATATCTTTCCGGGAAAAATTTTTTAGATAGGAGCCCCTAAAAAAATATGCCCCGGGCCCCCGCCAACCTCTGGGCGGCCCTGGTACTTGTCTTCTTTGGTTTGCTAATTTGCATATAAACATCATAAACACGAAAACACTGTTTTCAAATTCGTAAATACCATAAACAAACCATAACTTTCGTAATATTTTCGTATAAATATTTTCGCCCTTGGGCGCGCCTTCTTTGCAGGCGCGCCTTCTGTACGTATATTAGTTACATTAAACACAAATATTCCCGTTTTAGTATATCGTTTGCTGGTTTTACTTGGATAATTTCACAGTAGAATATTTGATAATGGCTTTAATGTTTAATATATAAAGTAACACAAAATATAACAAAATCGTGCTGAAATGTCGAAATTTAATCCCATTGTTTAGTATATTGATGTACCGAAATACGATAAAAAACCCCAAATATATAGCATACTACGAACAACCACAGTTTGAACCAACTCGCGTTAAAATATGTGAACTGAAGCTTAGATTACATAATTCCATAATTATATGCAAGTCTCGAAAAGAATATACTGCTGTGCTCCCTTGTTCCTGGTGGAAGCTCATGAAGCAAATATCTGGTCAATCTAATAATATAGCGCCAATATATATTGAAAAGAACGGAGTAACTTTGATCGATGTTCAATGAGTAAACGCCTAAAATGAATTGTATATCGCCGTGAATGCAGATATTCCTCTCCTTGATATGCACGAGTTACCAGCTTTTTTGCCAGCCGCTCATGAGCAGGTACCGGTGATATATTCTTATCAGGTTTGTAAGAAATTGCAAAAACTTAACCCTTACAAAGCAATGTCCTAGCTGATAATATTCCACCACGTCTTTTAAAAGAATTTGCTTACGAACCAGCTGAACCAATTGCTGAACTTGATACTTGGAGATGCGCGAACATTATTCCTATCCCTAAGGAAAAGCTACCGAAAAAGGAAAGTGATCTACGACGAATCTCTTTAACACCCTGCATCTCTATGGCTATGGAGGAATTTGTAACAGAATGGATTCTTGAAGATATTGCACATAAAATCGATCATAAACTGTTCGGCGTTACAAAAGGCACATCTGCAACTTTGTGCCACTTGGATATGTTTCACAATTGGCTGTTAAATTTGAATACGCCCGGCCAGTATTTGCGAATTTGTTTTCTAGATTTTAGCAAGGCCTTCGACCGCATCAACCTTAACATCTTGGTTACCAAGTTGGTCCTTTTAGAAGTACGAAGGTCATTGCCTTGAATATGCAGTTTTTTGTCAAATCGCAAACAAGGAGTTAAGTTAGGTAAATCTTTGTCAGAGTGGGTCACATGCAGCGAATGCCGGTGTCCCACAAGGCACTATAAATCGGGCGCTATTCTGTTTCTTGTCATGATTAACGATCTTGTCCCACCAACATGTGATTATTGGAAATATGTAGATGATCTTACTGCTTCGGAGGTCATAGCCAAATAGGCAATTCGACAGTCCAATCAGATCTTGATTATATATCTTTTTGGTCGTCTGCTAATTACATGAATTTAAACGCGAGGAAATGTAAAGAGCTAAGGGTTTGTTCTTCCGTGATACGCCTGTTTTGGAACCATTAACTATTGACGGAATACCAATAGATGTTGTTGACTGCCATAAGGTTCTTGGTACTGTATAAATAGCTCGTTGAAATGGACGGACCATGTTAATATGATTACAAAGAAGGCAGCAAAGCGTCTTTACATTATACGTACCTTAAAGAGAAGTGGTATGACCGCCGATGATTTGTTAACAATTTACATTGCCCTTATTCGTTCGGTTTTGGAGTACTGTTGCCCTGTTTGGCACACTAACCTACCATCCTATCTCAGCGAACAAATTGAACGTTTACAGAAGAGAGTTTTGAGAATAATTTTCCCAAGTTTATCATACAGAGAGGAACTGTCTGCTGCAGATTCGGTGTACGGCTGGATAATAACAGACAACGTTTGTGCCTTAATCTTTTCCAAAATATCAATTCAAACGGCGATAGTAAACTCAACCCGCTCATACCTAATTCTAGGCTTAGCGAATTTGGTCGGCCACTTCGTAACTTTGATAGTTTTCAATTTTTAAATGTAGTACGGACCAATTTAAGCGCAGTTTTTCCCAGCGCTAACTCAATCTTCTAACAATATCTGGTCAATTATAATAGTTTATAACTTGTCATATACTTTGAATAAATAATTACATCAAACTTGTACACAAAACGCCAGAATTTTTCATTAAAAATTTTTGAAAATGACAAAATATGTTGTAAAACCTCCGCAAATGTGATATATTGTCCTCGGGGGCAATATATCAGTTATAAACCTCCTACTCGGTTTATAACTCTAACTTAACATTTAATGTATGTAGGACAAATAGTATACTTGAAGTATCCTATTATCATATATATATATATATATATATATATATATATATATATATATATATATATATATATATATATATATATATATATATATATATATATATTTAAGAAATAGAAAACGAGTCGCGTGCCTTTATGGTGTGACTGAATGCACGCGGGGAATGTTGGGAGAATGAGACACGAGGCGTAGCCGAGTGTTTTACACGCTTCTCGAGTATTCTCCCAACATTTCCCAAGTGCATTATCACACCATAAACGCACGAGACGAGTTTTTCTATTTCTTTTATAATATAAGTAGAAGACATTACATAGTAAACAATTTTACTCAAAAGATCGACGTTGAAATTCTCCTAACATGTACTCAGTGACGTCACGCGCATGCTTTTACTGTCGCTTGAATTTTTAAGCAAGCGAAGGAGAAAAATTGCCAAAACAACATACAAACTTTTGATGCTATAAAGCCGGAAAAGTTGTTTCAAATAGTGGAAATAAAAAAGTAGTGCCACACAGACTAATTTGCCAAAGTTTTTCAGCATCTGGGCTGCTGAATTTGCCATGAAAGACGGTAAATCGTAAGTTTCGTCGTGTTTATTACTCAGTTTCCATATTCGAAAATATTGAATTTTTTGTCTTTCGCCGAAAATATCTAGCAGTTATTATCAGACGAATTGAAGGTACTTTCTAAATCACTTATATTGCCTTTTTGTATGTATTTGGTCTTCCAGCTGTATCTTTTTCAAGTTTTTTTCTCGACTATTTTGTACGCTTTTTACCCAAAACTTGTCGAGACAACAACAAATTCGACGAATGCCAAGCCGGTTAATTTTATAAGTAGAACTACAAAAAATTGCTTTGTTCCTTTGTTTTATTCCTTCTTGCTCTCTGGTAAATTTTGTATTTTAAAAGCTTTATAATTTTGTGTATAATTTTGGCTAAAAAGCAGTGATGAAGAGGGGAAAAACAGAGAAAGAGCAAAGCAGTGCCACAGATCACAGTGCATTATTGCGTCACAATGCACGCGCATTAGCCAATCAAATCGTCTGTTATATCACACTTATATTATAATATATATATGTTGCTATGGCAACAATGACGTTTCAATATGGCAGATATTTTGGTTTTTTAGTAATTTAACTCGTAAACGACATGGGTGTCCACCAAATTTTATTTCATAAAATGATTTCTCATAGAATACTCAATTATTTTTACAATTTAAAAAAATTTTGTTTAGCTAAAATTTTTCAATTTAAGTAATTGTGATTATTCGCAATAATTTCAGTTTTTAGCGCAGGTAAGTCTCAAAAATTAAAACATCCTGGCTTTTTGCATGATTCGTTTTGCCTTTTGAAATCCTCTCAGCATATGAATTATGACGCCATTTTTCGCCAGAGCATGTAAACGCTATAGACGAAAGGTGTTACGGTTCATTTTCAATAATCGGCACACCTGTGAGATGTTTTCCTAAATCGCACGGCTGTGTCCATTAAAAGGAAATTTTAATGTCTTTAGCTTAGATGACTAAAATGATATCAGGGTTGCTAAAACAATTGTTATTCTTATCTTAAAACAGAGTTTTATCTTCGTGTTGGTATGGAGGACTTATCCAATCATGAATTCGACGAGAAAACAGAATTTTTTTCTCCACTTCCCAATGAAATAATGTTGAAAATTTTTGGTCATCTTGAAATCAACGACGTTATTCATCTAAACCTAGTGTGTAAGCGCTGGCACAGTCTGTCTAATGAAGATGCGTTGTGGAGAAGATTTGTGCCCAAGTACCCAGGAGTAGATCTACCTAAGGCGAAGACCCAACAGGAGATTTTTCAAAAGCTCTGGTCTGACAGCGTCCAAATTGGGAAAGAAAGATGGTTTCCTAACCCGCTTCCTTCTTTGGTGGAGTACAACACTTCACTGCAAAAGTATAATGAAGAAAATATTCCGGGCGAAGTCGACAAAATATTTTCACTGTCAAGATGTATGCTTTATCTTCGCTTAAATCCACTGTATGCATTTACTACCGACGGAATAAAACAAGAAGATCCACTCATGCAGGAAATCGTTCATCAGCTTTCGGATAAGCTTGGGAAACTTGCTAGACCAGGTTACGAATGTGATGATGGTGTAGATTTACACGACGCAAAATCTGCCATAATATATATGACCTTTCCTGGAAATAGGAAGTTTGCGATGGAGCTAATTGTCGGATACTGTTATGACTTCCGAACGAACGAACAAATCTCAGGTTCGATGATTGAACAATTGATTGATGATGAAGGACATATTCTTGAACAAAAGCTGAATGACAACGAGCCGGTAGGTAATGTATTCAAAGGAATGAGTGTGAGCAAGAGACTGTTTAATCAAATTTGGAATATTGTGGTTGATAAAAATGATCGATTTATTATTTATAATGTCAAAGGTAGTTATAGAAATAAGAACGAAGAACTTCTATATCCTAGGCAGATCTTAGTTACTGACACAGCTGTCGTCTATTGTGCCCGCCGGGAATTCGAGGTAAATTAAAAAGTTAATATGTATGGAATAACTGAAATAACATTAAACTGGTTTTTAGTGTAAAGTTTCAGTTTACACTGTTGTGATGACTGGCGAAAATTTAAACTTATTACTCCTATAACAAAAGGAAACATAACTTGCAGATTTCAGCAATAGCTCCGTCTATATATCTGTGTTTGCACATAATACTTCTGACTTTTTACCTAATATAACTAAGAGAAATTCCATGTCTGTCAAACTTGCTAAATGTACTGCCATTTCGATTGGCATAGTATCGTTTATCCATTCCCATAGTTCTTCTCTTGATTGGCTTGTGCCATTACAATAAAGTAATGCATGCTTTACAGGATTTAAGAAATTGCTATTACAAACATTACAATAGTCTCTATAAGTTTCTGGTTTGTTCACCCGTTTTCCTTTGATTTTGAAAGATCCACAGAGTAGTCTTAGAACATCATTAATTTGTTTAATAAAGTCCGGTTTCATTCTAGCTAATAACCACCATGGTGAAATTTCATTCACAGGATGAACTTCTGCATAAAGTTTTAGTTGACCATGCGTACTTATTTTTTCTTGCCAGATATTGTTATAGTACTCGTATATATTTTTTTTAACAATTTTCTTCCATGCAGATTTGCTTGGAAATTGATCGGATAAAATATACCCTGTTAGAAAGTCCATGAGATCATATTTCAAAAGAATTCGTACAATATTTGGAATGAATCCTTTTAAGGTGTTTGTATGGTTCCACTTCCAACGTATTAATCTCATGAGGAAGATCTTTCTGCACGAAACACCATGACTCATTAGTATAAGTCGTCCCAGAAAATACAATTTCCGTTTATCGACTTCAGCTTCGATTGGTGGTAAGCCCAGCAACCCTCGCGCAGCAGACCCTGATATTCCAGGTAATAACCCCTGTATAATACGCACCGTAATATTTTGCACTTTTTCCAGTTCAACAATGTTATTACAATTCAATTGCCAGAGCTCAGAACCGTACAACATCTTTAGGATACCAATCCGCTTCCATAACTGAACTGAAATTATAGGATTTAATCCTCCATTCCGGATTCTCTTCCTCTGGTAACAGCTTTGGAAACGAATGCAGACGAAATAACTCGTGACCCAAGATGCCAATCTCTAATGCTGCGATTTACACTACGTTCCCTATAGCTTTCACCAAACGTTAAAACTACCGTTTTCGTAGCATTAAATGTAAATCTCCATTTGTTATTGTATTCCGAAGCACATCGTAACATTTTGTCCAGTCCAGATTTCATACGTGATAGCATAGTTAGATCGTCCGCAAACATGGGTGATCCGAAACACACGGTGTTGATGCAAATTCCAGATTTAATGTTGCTCAATTCCTCGATAAGGTTGTCTATGAATGCCAGGAAAAGCCAGGGTGATAGAACCCCACCTTGTCTTGTACCTTGCCCTAGCTCGTATATACGAGATGATTTTCCTTCAACGATAACAAATTCTTTCATGTTCAAGTACCAATTTCGTATGAGCCGGCAAGTTTTACCAGTTACCCCTTTGGTGTAGTATAGCTTGTAAAGCATTCCATTAATCCACACAGTTTCAAAAGCTTTTGAGATGTTCATATAGACTGCATAAACTTTATCGTTGTTCTCGGAACAGTGATTTAGATTTTAGCACCTCTTCAATTGCAAAACATGTCGTGAGAGCATCTTGTTGTTTTTGATATCCACCCTGGAGCGGATGATGGAGACAATTTTGTTGCTTTTGTAATCGTGATAATACTATACGTTCCAAGATTTTATTAACACAGGGCAGTAGACTTATCCCTCGATGATCATCAAACATGTGTGTTTTTTTATTGCCCTTAGGAATTAGGATTTTAACTGCCAATTTAAATGAACTTGGAATCTCTTCTCTATCGATAATACAAGTGTAAAGATTTAATAATGCACGTATGATCATTTCTCCACCAAATTTTAGGTGCTCATACGTGATTCCGTCATATCCGGGGGCTTTTCCATTTGGTAGGCCTCTAATAACCTCCGAAATTTCCTGAGTTGTTAACGGTACAGTAAATATACAGCCTAGAGCATTCTCTGATTTTATACGATATCATTTACTCCATTTTCAATTTCGATTCGGTGAATTCGATCGAAATTCTCATTATCTTCTGAAGGTGTTGCTAACTGTTCAAAATAATTTGCCCAAAGATCTGCCATTTGCTATGAATCTGTGATAATTTTACCATTTGCCTCTAATGCCACTTTTTTGTTCTATTTGTTTTTCCTGCATGCCTTATTATTTAACAGTCTCCAAAATTTTTCATTATCTAAGTCTTGCAGATTAGCGATGTCACTGACGGCTTTCCACTGCTCACGTCTGTATTCGCATTTTAGTTTTTTATACTTTATATAGAAAATATTGCTACGTTGTCTTGGAGATCCTGCTTTTATCCAATCTGCTCTTGCAGCCATGACGGATTTTCTTAAATCTTTAAGTTTTTTGTTCCAGAATGGTTTTGTATGCTTTTTAAAATTCACTCTTGGTAACATTTGATCTGCGTTTCTATTAATTTCAATCAGTTCCTCATAAATAACGTTTCTATCACATAAATTAATATTCTCCCAAGCATTACTTATTAATAAGTTCAGATTTTCCTGATAACTATTCAGTTGTTCCGCAGTACATCGTTTCCATGGTATTTTGTCATAAGTATTTATACTGTGATTTCCGATATCGTTTGAAATTCGGTCCGAGACTTGGACAGACAAACATAGTTTCAGCGGTAAATGAAATGCTGTATTGTCAGGATGCTCACAAGATTTCTCTACCGGTATGAGACCTGTATCTGGCAGTTTGCTTAACTAACTTCATGTCGAAGATACAGAACATTTAACACACAAAGGTTTTGCAGATTTAATTAACAAAAGCCTAATAGAACCAATGAATACTTATGATCCCTTAAATGTCACAGATTTGAACACCTTGTTTGAGGAGATTCCTGATTATCCGTTAGATGTAAACATGAATTTGACAAATACTGCATCGGTCTTGAAAAAACTGAAAAGCTTCAACCCGCATAAAGCTCCGGGCCCTGATGATATCCCCAATTGGATTCTTCGTGATTATGCCGAAATCCTTGCTCCCTCTGTATCGGACTTATTGAATTCGTCCTACAAGCAAAAAAGACTGCCCTCATGCTGGAAACAAGCTAACATTACACCTATTCCGAAAGAGAAACCTGTTAAAGACATAAGTAAACAGCTCCAACCTATTTCGTTAACTCCGGTTCTGTCTAAACTTGCACAAGAGTTTGTTGTTGAAAAATATATCGCTCCAGCAGTGTTGTCGTCAATTGATCCTTTTCAATTTGGTGGCGTCCCTCGATCATCTGCTACAAAAGCCTTAATTTCTATGGTTCATGCGTGGACTCAAGCCACAGATGGAACTGGAAACGCTGTAAGAGTGGTTCGTTTTTGATTATAGAAAGGCCTTCGACTTGATTGATCATAAGATCTTAGCCACGAAAATCATCCAATTGCCAATGCCAAATTTCATTAAGCGGTGGGTAATTGACTTTCTGATGAACAAGCAACAACGGGTGAAACTTGCAAGAGACTGTATGTCTGAATGGATTGACATTCCTTCCGGTGTCCCTCAAGGAACCAAATTGGGACCTTGGTTATTCATCCTAATGATAAATGACCTACGCCCCCCACATCATGAGCAATGGAAATACATCGATGATGCTACGGTATCTGAAATCATTTACATCAACACACCCAGTAAAATTCAAGATACAGTCGATTGTGTTCAAAATTGGTCTGTAGAAAACAAGATGCAATTAAATGCCTCCAAGTGCAAGGAACTTGTTATCAGTTTTACAAAACCTGAGAAAGAATTTCCGCGCCTTAAGATCATCTCAGGCCAAATCGAGACAGTGAACCACGCAAGAATCCTAGGTTTGACAATTTCTAAAGATCTAAAATGGAACCAACACATAACTAACATAGTTAAGAAGGCGAACAAATAAAATATTCAAAAAATAAATTATTTCCGACCTACCGACCCTAATCCTTTCACGATATGAAACCGGATCCACTGGTATTTTTTACGCCTCATGCTACGCAAGTTCCTAATGATTTACAAGTATCATTGAAATAGATGCTGGTTTATGAACATATAATAGGCATACCATGACCAGTTGCCAATGACTAGCTTGTCACTGAATACATATGGGTACAATAATAATATCATATATTCATACATACATAAACAGTAATAATACTTGAATGAATCATTGGACATGTGGAATTTAATAACAATTTCATCAATAGAAATGCTTTAATACTAGAAATACATGCATGTAGCAACCCCTCGCCCATATTTTCCAAACATTGATTTAACATGAAGTATTAGTAATTGATCAACACTGATGAATGCAGGCTCACGTTACGTCAGTGTTGCCATGGCAACGCGATCAGATAATTTTTATTTTTATTATACTTTTGTACAACACGGCTGAAAAATAGTCGAAAGATTATTGCTTTTAACTATACAGGGTGTCTCAAAAAACGCTATGGAAATTCAACAGGCTGTCGTGCATCATAAACGTGACTAAACAATTTAATTTTTAAATACGACGAAAGAACAGTTATTTAGCTTTTCAATGATACTCTTTTTAAATCGTAACGAGGAAAAATGGCCACGTACTCGCCAAATAAAAATTGCCGGTCGAAATCACATTCTTCCACCGTTGGGAGTTTCAAGGAAAACGAACAATAAACAAATCTCAAGACGGAATAAAAATTGAATGTTAAATTACCTAAAATAAGCTCAACTTGTCTATCTTTGTCTTAGTGAGACCATTATTATAAGTAATAGCATGGCTTGAGGGAGATTAGTGATTAAATGGCCCCGTAACCCGAGGCAGGTTTGCGGAATTCCCGAGGGCGAAGCCCGAGGGAATTCCGCAAACCTGCCGAGGGTAAGGGGTCATTTAATCACTAATCTCCCGAAAAGCCATGCCATTAGTTTGTAATAGCATAGTTTCGCTCCCATTTAAAAATGGACAAACATGCCCTACTTGGAATCAGCGTATTTAAGCTAAAACATTTGCTTCATTGCTTGTGGGATGTAAAAACTTGTTGCACATGCGCACTTTTTACGCTTTAATCGGTTACGCATGCGCAATCTATCATTTAACGTACCACAACAAACACGCTAAATATATTAGTATAAATTT